TGTGTGTTTGTTTTTAGGACATTGGCGTAGGATGATAATTATATATGATTATTTTTTAAAGACTCCAATTTTTTAGAATTATTTATTACTCACCAATTTTTTTAAATTATTCTTTAACAAACTCAAATTTTTATGAATTTTTTGATGATGGAATAGTCACTTTTCAGAGTTACCAAATATTGGTGAATTTGATATTTTTTAAATTTATTTTCCCTAAATTATTTGGTAAAAGCTAACTCTTAAGTATGCACCATTTTTTTTGAATTATTTCTGGGCTTTTGAAACATGTGTCCATTTATGATTAATCGCCAATTTAATAATGAAAACCAACAGTTACTAATTTTGCTAACTTTTTATGCCTAATGCCAATTTTCATAAATTATTTTATGAAAACGTGTATGTTGAAAATGTTATGGCCAATGTTTATAAAATATTTAATAATGAAAGCCATTATGTAACAGTTACCAATTCTACCAATTTTTTATACCTAATGGCAATTTTCATGAATTTTTTGATGAAAGCGTGTATTTCAAAACAAGTTTCAATTTTTGCTAAATGTTTGTCTAAAATTCTACCATTTTTGTATATTAACCAAATTTTCGAAATTTTTTCATGAAAAAGCCGAAAAAAATCACCAATATTTGATAAAATTGTAATTTTTTTCATTACTATATTTGTTACAACTGCTAAATAATTAACATTTAGTAACAGTAATGAAATAGTTGATCAGCACCTATTTTTATACTTATTTTGGCAACATAGGCCAATATTTTTGAAATATAATCGAACTTTATTAATGATTTGTTGAATATATCTATTTCAAATACAAGAAGTCTCAAAAAGTTACCAATTTTATGGACAATTGAGTAAAAATTACCACACTTGAATTTTCACCAACTTTTTATTTGGAACAAACCAATTACTAGCTTTGAACAAATATTATTTTTTTTAAATTAATTAGTAATAATTATTAAAATTTTCAAATAGTTGCAATTATTTATTTAATATTTGGTGCATAATGCCAATTTTTGAATTGTAACAAATCTTGTGAATTGTAATTAATTTGTATAAATTATTTGGATAAATTATTAAATTGCAGTTTTTATAAATAATTTGTATAAGAAGAAAATATAACAAACAAGTAGTTTTCAAATTATCTATTACAAAAACTATATCTTAATAGTATAATAATAATATAAAAAACAAATTTTAAATGATAACCAATTTTTTCTACTTAAACTAGTAACTAGATAAAAGAGTAAAAATTCTGATAAATTTTTTCGAACTGCGAGTGATTTTGCAAAATTATTGTAAATTATAAGAGAGTAAAATTCCTGATTTGTTCTAGGAATTTTTGTTGAAGAGTTTGTTCTAATTTTTGTAACAATTTCTAAAATTTTCTAAATATATAATTCTATAATTTTGTCTTGCAAAAAAGGCAGAAAAAAATATTCGCGTGCTGAAGAATCGTTTCCAAGTTCTAGGTCATTCTAAAATAGTCAATTGCAATTTTCAACCATTCATTAAATACAAACTACAGAAGCTAATAGTCAGCTAGAAATTTAATTTCCATGTTTTGTTTGCTATGAAAAATGCAATAAAGTTCCATACTAATACGTAACTCTTTAAACTTTGGTTTTTGAGTCCAAAATTCTATTTTTTTTCAAGAAAAGTTTTAGTTTTTTTGGAACTCGAAAATAATGCTCGTTAGTAGTTAATTATATTTTGTATATGGTGCCTGATTAGTTAATAGAGTCTTTTTCTTATCAAACAGATTTTCTCATCTATTTAATATTCTTGTTCCTTTTTCTTTCTCACGTTGAAATTAAATTTTATATATATAAATATATATGTCAGTATCATATATATAAAATACGTCGATACATCTGTGTTCGACGGTCGTATATATTCAAATTCGCCAAGATTTGCATTTGCATTCGAAGCCCTGAGAGAATCTCAATATCCTATCAGATTATCCGATATCGACTTTTGTCATCCTCAGAGATTTTATAAACAAGTCGATGATTGAAAGATCGAGTGATAGAAAAGTAGAATTATTTTATACTAATTTATAAAAAAAATGTAAGGCATACTTAATCTACTTTGAAATTTGATATACCATTTCTTCTAAACTAGTTTGTTGCTTCTGCACATTTTGAACAAGAAAACCGTTACAATGGTTAAAGACAGAGATAGATTTCTTTATTTTATTTTATTTTTTCCTATTTGTTTTATACTGTTTTATATTGGACGCCCATGTTTAGATAAAATGGGAAATCACAATTAAAAACGACTTAATAACACTTTGCTCACAGAAAACACGAATGCATGTACACAATCGTTGAACAGAGTGGGATTAATAAAATCTCATTATTAGAATCTCTATTCAAAAAGTTAAATTTTTTAACTTCCCGTAGGGTAGTTATAGTAATGGGCCGAAAATCGAAAATGAAAATTTTTGTATTTGTCGACGTTTTGAAGGTTTCTGAACATTTTGGCATACCTCAGAAAAAACGAATGTGTGTGTGTGTATGTATTTATGTATGGATACAATATTTGTCTACGTTTTCGGGCGCAAGAATCAACCGATTTGAATAGTTCAAAAAGCATTCGATTCCTATTGATAGGGAGATGTGCTGATTAGTTTTTGGCAAAGGCAGGTCCAGCCGTTACGAAGATAAAAAGCAAAGGGTGCAGAAAATGGAAATCGAGTTTTTGAGAGAACAGACCAACCTATCTGAATGATTAAAGAAAACATTCAATGTGTAATGATGGGGAAAAGGTGATTATTTTTTTGAAAAGGCAGGTCCAACCGTTTAGGAGATATGGTGCAAAAAAATGGGGAGTTTTTGAGAGAAATGAGCATCCGAAAATATTTAATATTTCAACAATTTGCTTTGAGGCACGATGCCATACGCACCACTAGTTTATTATAATTATTTACGAGCCATGGCGTATTATGCCTTTAGTTTTTATTAAATCTAGATTTCAACGACATAACCTCAAACGTTCTAGGTTGACATTTTGACGTTTTGTCACCGAAATATCTATATACACGTGACAAGACGATCTCGACCAATCACATCAACTCGTCTCCCATTTGTCGCCAATGACGATTCAGTATTCATGCCGTAACGCACTTCCGTTGCATTAACAGTTGTTTTCGCTAAGTTACTCTTACTCTAGTAATATTTTACCATGAGCCTTATCAATATAAAAAAATGCAGAATCATTTTTTCAACAATTATTTCTTATTAGAATGATATCTTTCGTACGGTTCTTATTGTTTGACAGTTGTTTTCGCTAAGTTACTTTTTAGTTGCGCCTAAAGAAGTTTTACTTCAAAAAATAACTTTGCCAAACGTTTGAAAATTATAACCGAAATCTACTGATTTTTACAAACAAGCCTACAATAGATCAGTTACCAAGAGAATTAAAAAATTGACACCGCCAGGATGGTAAAAATTTAGGGTTCCATGTACCTATCCCATAAATCTTTTCCCCAATACGCCTCTGTCCTTTCCTAGCTCGATTTTAATTCATATCCGCACACTGTCGCCGCCTGACGTGTGTCTGCGCAAACACACACACGTGCGTTTAAATGCATCATATTTGTGCAAACTGCATCTGAAATCTGCTGATAAACATTATTTCCACTGAAAATATTCAATCAGACTGATATCTCACTGTGCACCGTCGTAGTTTCGATCTAGTTCCATAGGAATTTAGTGTTTTTCGGACATTTTTTGTGTGAAATTTGTGCCAAAACGAAAAAGATGCCTGACAGAATCGGAGCCATCGAGGTTGGTAGCATTGGGTAATATAGGAAAGTTCAGGTGTATAAATAACGGTTTTATAATTTGAAAATTATTTTTATTCAAATATTTGAATTTATAAAATAAAATAAATAAGAGGTGTTCTTTAATTTATTGGTTTTGGATTCGATTTGTGATTCTATCTTATATATAAAATTCTTTTGTGATGATGTATGAGAGGATACTCTTCCTAAACGATTATTCGGATTGTTGGGATTATAAAAATATAGTTAGATTGTAGAAATAAATAGAAAAAATTACAAAAAAGCGCTTATTATTGTTTGACATTGAAAATATTTGAGGCATTGTTTGACATTAAAAACAAATGAAGACTGTCATTTGCCAAACATAACAATTCACTTATAGGCTATGACAATATTAAAATATATTTATGAATATGAATAAGAAATATGTAACGTCTACATTATTATTGCCAAAAAAGCAGCTGAGATGTGCCAAAAATTAAAATAATATAATATACAGTATATGGTTTGGCAGATGAACAGTCTGCGCATGCGTCTTATGGTTGTGGACTGTCAGTGATCAAACGCATCAAACATACCCTATATAATTCAATTTGACAGATTATTATTTTTGAACTAAGGAAGTCATGTTTTTTTTAATGACAATTAATCGTATTTTATCTAGAAAAACCTTTATTACAAATTACAAATCTGATAGGTATGAACTATGTTAACATATACATTCTGACAACATCAAAACTAAACAGGAATAACTGTCATTAAAAAATTCAAATATGCACTAACTATTTTGTGTCTAAGATAAAAATGTCTAATTTTTCTTAAAAATTATTTGTTTTGTAGAATCAATAAATCCAAAAATAATTGTCAGAATAGTATATTTGATATCAATAATATTTTTTATTGTTCATAAATTTTGAAATATTATGCAAAAACCACGTGTTCTTTTTGCACATCGTTATGATATCAGTTTCATCAGTTCGTTTGTTTATGATTTTTAACTTCCCGTAGGGCAAGTTATAGTAATCGCAAAAAAATCGAAAATGAAAATTTTTGCATTTCTCGACGTTTCAAAGGTTTCTGAATATTTTGGCATACCTTAGAAAAAATGGATGTATGTGTGTGTGTGTGTATGTGTGTGTGTGTGTGTGTGTGTGTGTGTGTGTGTGTGTGTGTGTGCGTGTGTATGTATGTGCGGATACAAATTTTCGTCGACGATTTCGGGAACACCGATCAACTGATTTGAATTTTTCAAAAAACATTCGGTTCGTATTGATAAGGAGACGTGCTGATTAGTTTTTGGCGAAGTCAGGTCTAGCCGTTCCGAAGATACGGGGCAAAAAGTGCCGAAAACGGTAACTCAGTTTTTAAGAGAACGGAGCGTCCGATTTTAATAATTCAAAAAACATTTTACTTGTATTGACAAGATGAAGAATTGATCAAATTTTCATAAAGGCAGGTCTAGCGGTTTCGGAGATCTAATGAAAAAAGTATAAAAAAATGCCATTTGGCGGTCAAAATGATCATTAGACATATGCACATCAAATTATCAGATATTTTATAGAGATTTAACAATAAGTATAATTTTGGTTCACATTCCTATGGTTGCGTACCAATGTTTACGCGTTAGACGTCGACGCGGCGCTTACGCAGTTTGATATTTCGTCTCTATGCAGTTAAAGCAGTACGATTGCTTTGAAAAAAAGTTTAGATCTTTCAAAATATGTCAAAATAAAGAAAACATTTTTTTTTTTAAAAAAATTTAAAAAAAAAATTAAAAAAATTTTTTTTTTTTTTCAAAAAAAGTAATTTTTTGTCAAAAATCTTATTTTTTCGAAGTAAATTTTTTCAAAAATGTTAATCGTTTTTAAAAAAAATAATAATTTTTCGTACGGGAAGTTCCAGCAATTTGCCTTAAGGCACGATGCCTTAATTGCCTTAAGACAGAATTCCACTTACAGCTAGTTCCTTATATAATTGTATTAATAAATCCTCAATGTAAGGTCTAAACAACATTATTTTCCTCGAAATAAGGAATAAAATAATTTAAATCCTAACAAAAAAATTTTTGGACTCATATCAAACTGTAAGTGTTTTAGATTACTAATTTTATTGTCTTAAATTCTTATGAATTATTAATTTGGTTTTATATTTATTGTAGTTATTTTCCACTGATTGCTTGGAATTCAAAAATATAACTAAAAGCTTAATCAAACGTTTATCCAATTATTGAAATAAAAACAAAGTTAGTTTAAAAACATTTTTAATTAAACTTGAAAACGTCTGCAAAAATGCATAAGGAATAATATAAAATAAAAAAATAAACAATGTATATATATATATTTGACATAACATAAAAATGACAAAACATGAATTGATTTATGTCTATGAAATCAAACTAGGCATATAAGAAATTGGAGTGATTTTTTTCATTGTTTTACTTTTGTAATATTTTGTGTAATAACTTTGCATTTTATTTTTACAATTTCAATTTTATTAAAAGTTAATATTTCAGATTTGGTTGCTTTTTTATTATGTTAAAAAATGATATATTTTTTATTTTTAAAATATTAATTTAATTTGTATTATCACCTGGAGAAAGCAATGAATGTAAATTTATCCCATGAACGTTATATAAAAAAAATTATGGTGCCAAACGATTCAGAATGACTTAAAAGGTAGGTAAAACATAAAACCAAAACATAAACCTCTCTTTTCGTATGTATCAATTTTAAAGAATTACGTAACGCCACAACCATCTGACAGACAGACAGAAATAAAAATTTATTCAGTATATACAGTGTAAAATACAGTGAATTATATGTGGGTTTGTCTACCTGGGGGTATTTTACCCAAAAGTTTGTGGTTTTACAATATTGTCTATATATTTGTATTTGTACAATATTTTATTCATTATTTCGCAAGGACAAAAAAAGGAGACGATTTTTGTCACCTAAAAAAAAAATCCTTCATTCATTGTTTTATGGCTTATGTATTCACTGCGGGCTCGATCAGGTAGTTAGGCATGGCATAGTTCCCGTACCAGATCATTTCTGATGTGTACTGGCCTAACGCGCGGATGGTACTATTATCGTGATCCCTACACTTTCGATAAAAATTCTCGGTGAGCTTTTTTATGTGTTTGAGTATGGTCGGTATGTCCGTCTGTTCGTGTAAATATTTCGTTGGGTAGTAGTGTCTCGTCAGTGGGTTCCTTGATTTGTCTAGTACCAGTCGCAGTGCTTTGTTCTGTGCTATTTGTAGTCTCCGTCTGTTGGTCTTGGTTGTCGCGTTCCATGCCGGAGCGGCGTATGTCAGTAATGGTCTTATCAGTGTCAAGTAAAGTGTCCGCTTGTTCTTCACGCTTAGCGGGCTGTTGTGGTTCAAAAGAGGTCTCAGTAGATTCATCATCCCGTAAGCCTGTCCAATTTTTGTATTCGTATGTTTTGTGAAGCTGAGTCTATAGTCCAAGGTTACGCCAAGGTATTTGACTTCCTTGGACCACTCAGCTTCATGGCCCATTACCTTTAGTTTCGTCAAGTCAGTAAGTGTAATGGACCAACGGCTTTTTGTAAAGAAAATTGCTTCTGTTTTAGAAGGATTGATTTTAATTTGCCATTTTTCCGTGTAATCAGTCAGGGCGTCTATATGTCTCTGTATTTTTGTAGTCAGTAGCGTAGGTGAACGTGATGATCTGTAAATGGCAGTGTCGTCAGCAAATGTCAACAGTGTTGTGTCGGCGTCAGTGGGCATGTCGTGGATGTAGACGTTAAACAAGGACGGTCCCAGGATCGAGCCCTGCGGTACTCCCGCCGTCACTTGTTTAATCGTCGAGGGTGTGTTGTCTACTTGAACTGTGAAATTACGGTCTGCGAGGTAAGAATGGAGTAGTTTTGTGATGTATGGTGGAAAGTTAAGGGTTATGAATTTGTGTATCAGTCCGTCCATCCAGATGGTGTCAAAAGCCTTCTCGAAATCGAGCAACACCAATCCGGTATGGTTTCGTCTATTGAAGTTGAGTACAGTGTTTTCTATTAGTTGTGTCAGTGGATGTAACGTAGAGTGCTGTTCCTTAAAGCCGTACTGTGTGTCTGGTATAATCTTGTTTCGTCTGATGTGTCTGTTGATGCGTTTGAGCAGTACCTTTTCAGTTACTTTGCTCATTGTATTGAGGAGGCTGATTGGTCTGTAATTTTGCGGAGAGTCTGGCTGTTTCCTCGGCTTCAGGATAGGAAATATGGTCGATGTTTTCCATGAAGCAGGAAAGTGGCCTTTGGCCATTATACGGTTAACCAGTCGTGTGATTAGTATGTATGCGTTCGTTGGTAGTTGTTTCAGTATTATATTTTGTAGTCCGTCCGGTCCGGGTGCTTTCCTGTTCGGTAGTTTTCTGATTGTCAACTTTATTTCTGAAACTGTGGCAGGGTCTATTCGTAGGTCTTTGTCGTTAAATTGTTCAGTAAAATTTTGAATAGAATTGCGTACGTCTCGTCTTAAGTCTGCGTTGGACATGTCGGCGTTTTGTCTGTGTATGTTTTCAAAGTGTGTTGCTAAAATTTCTGCTTTGTCTGCTGGTGTCGTGGCGTAGTTGTTGTCAGGTAGTTTGAGTGGCGGGATAGGTGTTGTTTTCCTCGTCAGTCTTTTGGCTGTTTGCCAAACTTTGTGCGGGTCAGTGTTGATGGTTTCTAGTTTTTTAGTCCAAGTGTCATTCCGGTGCTCACGTATCTCATTATGAATAATTTTTGTCAGTCTGTTTACGTGTTCCTTTAGTAGTCTGTCACCAGTACGTTGCCACAGTTTCTTTATATTGTTCTTTAATTTAATTTTTACTAATATTTGTTGAGGAAGCGTGTCAAATGTGGATGTATTTGCGTGTCGCAGCGGTATTGTGTGTTGGATGGTGTCCGTGATCGTCCGTGTCAGATGTGTCACAGCCTCCTCTATGTCTGTATTGGTCTCTATGGGTATCGTGTGTCGTATATTGTCTGTAATAATTTCTCTAAAAAG